CAAGAAAAATTTAACTAAAGTCACAATCATGTAACATGATCTTGAAGTGCACATTCTAATCAAAACGATGATATATACTAACTAGCCTTTGAATAAAAGTATTATAGAACACTGTTACCACATTTGTTTTGCAATTTCACAAAACACACAAACAACAATTTACAGTTTTTCTTTTTCTTCCTTGCCAAGTATTTGCTCACAACTTTCTTCAAGTCAATGTCTGAAGCTGAAGATGCATTCAGGCTAATCATGAGAAGTCTGTTGCAATTTTCAACACTGAGTCTGTTTCTATGATCTGTGACAATCAATTTCACTTTTGAGAACACTCTCTCAACTTCAGAAGTGGACAGAATCACTGTTGCATGGATGGACAGTAATTGAACAATGTTCAGGATACAAGTTTCCAAGTTGAGGCTTCAGGCTGGTGAGGTCTTCAAAATGGAGGAGGGTGAACTGGTGTCAAGCTCCCCTGAAAACAGCTCCTTTACTTGACTCCACTCAAGCTGTGTCTGGTCGACGTCAAGTCGAAGTGCTCTGCCAGCTGTGTTATCTGAAAAGAAACAAATGCATACATGTAATTATAATAAAATCAATTAAATCATTAAAATTAATCTTATTCCAGATAGAATTCCATTCAAATAGATTACTGGTTATCACAGGTAAACACTAACACAAGTTACTTGATCATGGTTGTCGAGGGGACATAAAGAAGAATCTTCTTAAAGTCAAATGTTATGACAATAGTATTAATATAGATATATGTCATACCTCAGCATCCCCATGGAAAGTCAGAAAGAAGGATCTTCAGCCTTCCCTCAGATCCAGCGCTGATAGGTTTGTGATGATGGGTGTGACCTGCAGCCTCTCTTCCATGTTCTGTATCAGGTGATTGAGAAAGATGTCCTTTGAAGACTTGATATCTCTCCGTCTGCTCTCAGTCTTCTCCAGGTCATACAGGTTAGCAAGCTGATCAATGCGATTTAGATATGGGCCTGGCTTGTCTTTTCATTTTTTCTCAAAAGATGCAGTGCTACTTTGTATTTGTGGTTCCAAAACACTCAAATCCAAATCCCTTCGCTCGAACAGCTTTGTTAGACCAGATAACAAAGAGCACACATCACATAGCAAGAGAATAGTGTAAAGTCTGTGTAAATAAGACTTGAGCTGCCTGTAGGAGTCCTTCAGCAGTGACACTCTGCTTATCCCCAGCCTTCTTATCATTGCCCATGCCTACAGCATTTTCTAAGTCAGCAAGGATTGATGGGTAGCACTGCCTCACTGCATGAACAGCCTTCTCATGACTGAGCCAGCCCGGGTATGGACAGCCTTCTTAATTGTAATAGGACCTCTATTTGGTTCATCTGACGTGTCGCCTTCCATTTCTTTAGTCAACAGCTGCATATTTTCCAAGCTTTTGTGATCTCACAGTGCTGTAATGGTAATGCTTGAACAGTCCCATCAGCAGTTCATCCACTCTTTCAATGAGTGTGACAGACTTGAATGCTGAACTAATAGCAAGCTGAAGTCTGTGATTAACACAGTGCACATCAATCAAAGCTGGGTTTGATTTCTTTACAACTGTGTCACAACACCATTCTTTTTACCTGTCACTACTGCTGGTCCATCACTTGCAAAACAAGTCATCTTCTTCTGGTCAAGATTTGCCTTCTCCACATAGTCTTTAACACTCTTCACTATCGTATCCTGCTGTTCCATTTGGTATTTGAATTCTGTAGAAATGCAAGCTTTGATTCCTCCATTCTAAACATAACGTCCAGCAACTGCAAGATGCTTTCTGGTCGAGGACATCCAGTGTACTCATCAACATTAGTCCAAATGCTATCCACTGCTATCTTTCATCTTCCCAACAACTTCGGCTTCTGGCATTCTATGAACTCCTGCACTGTACTGTACCCAGTGTGTGATGCATTTTGCCGTGATTCAGCATTGCCAAGTTTGATGCACCAAGGTCTATGCACAAGTCAATAAGTGGGCGATATAAAGTTGTGTATGGCAGGTTATGCTTGATAAGGAAAAAACAGTACTTTCTGTGCGTCTTCCAGTCAGCGGTAGTTTCCTTTTTCCGTGTATCTGCCGAGAAAATGTTTTCAATGGACACTTTGTCATCCTTTTCCCATAAGGATTAGCGTCTGGATGCATTTGAGAATTCATGGATGGAAACCTTATCAAGTCGGACAGTCTGGCATCCAACTTCTGTCCAAACCTGAGATCCATTTCTGCTCTTGGTGTTCCCACTTGGAGCATAATGAACAAACATCATTCCCTTCTTTTGTCATTTTCCGAGGTACCTTCAACCAGGGACGGTTTTGTTGCCACTTTGTGTCAAATGCAGTCTTGTGACCACCAACTTTCTTCTTTGTTCGATTAGCTGACTCTGTCTCATCTCGCTGCCTTGAGTTGTCAAATGAAACTACCTCTGACTTCGTCTAATTCCGGGTCTGAAAAACAATATACAAAGTTTAATATACCATATTCAAAATATTCTTAGATATTAAATTTGAAATCATGATTATTATTACAAAAATATCACACAAACACACACCTGAACGTAAAGTATCTACTGTGAAGAGCTTCGACAGTATGGCTTCCCATTGTTTGAAATCATTATCGCTTTACTCCTTCAAGACTTACTTGTTTATGAAATCGCCACTCAACACTAAAACCCGTCTTAACAGTATGTATGCAAGCTGTTTTATCTATTTCATTTACCAGGACAAACAACAAAATAATTCAAGATCAATTTCAAATTGCCGATGGATTGAAAATGGCGGACATTTTCGAGTTTCAGATTTACATCTAATCAGCACAGTCGTGATGAATATCGGTCCGTAAGCGCGAAAAAAATAATACCATGTAGTCCACAGATCGTTGTCAAATAAAGGTTTCATTTGAAGGCATGTGAAAAGGAAAGGGAAATCAACAGCCTAAAATCACGAACTTAGAGGCACATACCGGTTCGAGATGAAGAAATCTATTAGTCGGGCGACACTTCCCTGTTTGCTTCAACCTTCACCGCTTCTTCTCTTTTCCTCTTGATTCTTTCCTTGGTAGGCATTGTGATTAAGTATGGTGAATTAAACTTCTTTGACTTCGCCATGGTTTATATGCCAATTTCCTAATCATTATAAAACAATCTTATGTCTCCTCAAAGAAGGGAGAGAACTCTGCCCTTGGTAAAATCGGAAAATACACACGGGTTGTAGTAAAATCGAGCACAGCTGAAGAAAACGACTGGCATTGAGGCGAAAAGGGCAGGGCGCCCAAAAAAAGGGCAGGGGCAAAATCAAAGGGCAGGGCGCCGCGCCCCTCCTAAATGTGCCTAGAGGGGAACACTACTAACATTACCTATTTAATGAATGACGTTTGGTACACATTCACATAAAGAAATGATTTAACAAAGCACTCATGATGGGCAAAAGTCACTCAGTATCAGGTAAAAGTACACTTTCTTTAGACTAAATAGAATAATGAAAAAAGAAAATCATGAGAAACCTAACCTTATAATAAGATAGAAGCCCACGTTTATTTATTTTTTAGGTCTAATCCAACTGTTGAAAAAATACCAAAGGTATGTTTATCATATTATTTAAATAATACAACTTCAACTTAAATAAATATATTTCTAATCGTAATACAAGTTTACACTTAATGTCCATATAAACCACTTGAAGGAGGCGTAAACTCCCGCTATTTTAATCCATTTGTAAGATGCCATAATATCCTCTTACCTATTTCTTTTATGTTTTCATTTTTACGTAATCAGAAAATTATTATATAAAGATTAATTAAATAATATGTATGGTCGCCTATTTCCCGATAACCGTGGCTTTTCGCCCGGTAACATGACACAACTTTGAGAAATGCCTCCGTTTTCGAAGCTCCGTATGAACAACACTCTAGAAGATTCACTTGATGGCGGGTATTGTTCCAAAGCTCTAATTATCAATAATATCACAATAACCTTGCCAGGAGTATTTTCGCAGTTGTAAGAAGCGATTTTATTGGATAAAGAATGGTTTCTAATGACGCTTTTTCGCCACTGTCTGCTATAAGGCTCGTGAATGGTAAAAATCATGCTTGTAAGCCAATCATATTACAGCAATGGATACCGTCCACATGAACGAAAACTTTTAGACAAAGGTTTTGGGTAAAATAATGCCATTCTGAACATGTTAAGCAACATATCGCCATATATACGTAAATTATGGAACTTATTGGACGTATCGTGCTAGGTGGCGACCTGTGACAAATGTTCTTTATGCAAATGTTTTCTGATCAAACATCGTGTCCAAGCATGAAGATCGAGGTGACGAAAGCCGAGATGTCACTTAACTTACATAACATGATCGCACGAAAAGATGGAAATAGTAACTTAGATGTATGTTTGACAACTTTTATGAAAACTGTTGATTTTATTCATTAGTTTACTCAATTTAAATGATTTCCTCGAAACGTCCATACTTTGCTCTTTGACAATATTTAAGTGTACCGTTGCCAATCATTTGGAAAGACTTCCGCCCAATCCCCACCCACCACCACCCCTTTTACCTGAATATACATATATATCTTTTTCCTCACCATTAAAATTTAGGGGGTATACGGGCGGAAGTCTTATGTGCGGTGTTGAATGGGTTAAAATCAAACAAATAAATCTTTGACGGTATACTGGTTCGTCATAAACGTATCGCGATACGTAATTGTTACAATTTCGTATTGCGGTTTACCGGTATACCGGTAGCCCTAGTATTGTGTTCAATGAAGAAGGTTCTTGCTGGGCAGACGGACTACTTTTGACAGCAGATGAGACACTTACCATTGTCTCATGCATTAGGAGACGGAACTGTGCACAATGACGAAGGTTGTTGCTGGGTAGAATTGACACTTACCACTGTCTGTGCAACAGAAGACACCATTGTTTTCAGTGAAGAAGGTTGTTGCTGGGCACAACCACTACTTTTGACAACAGATGTGACACTTACCATCGCCTCGTGCAGCAGAAGACATCAACTGTGTACAAGGAGGAAGGTTGTTGTTGGCCAGAGTATTGAAGACAAGGCCCTGGAGGTTACTGAATACAAGCACTAACTGAATGCAGATGAACTTTGGTCCAATGTAGAATTCCTTCAGATGCTTCCTGGACGCCCTGAATACAAGGATCAAGCCGTACATGGCTGTGAGTGTGGATACACCGCTCAACACACTCAAGTACAGGGTGGCTTGGTTTGGCTGCATCTGAAACAGTAAGAGAGGGAATGGCATTGAACAATAAATCAGTTATATCATCACTTGTCAGGTTGTCATGTGGGAAGTGAGAACTGCAAGTTTGACCCCGCCACGAGCCACTTTAGTGATAAGGAAGGTATGGTGCCTCAGATGTACTTTGACACCTGGTAAGAGGGTGGGATGAGATGTACTTTGACACCTGGTAAGAGGGTGGGTTTGAGAAATACTTTGACACCTGGTAAGATGGTAAGTATGAGAAGTACTTTGACACCTAGTAAGTTGGTGGATATGAGATGAACTTTGACATGAGGTAAGAGGGTGGGTATGAGGTGTACTTTGACACCTGGTAAGATGGTGCATATGATATTTACTTTGACACCTGGCAACAGGGTGGGTACAAAATTTGCAGCAAACAAATCTACTTCAAAACAGAAATAGCAGGTAGGAGTGAGTGAGTGAGTGAGTATGGTTTTATGCCGCTTTTAGCAATATTCCAGCGGGGGGACACCAGAAATAAGCATTAAACATTGTACCCATGTGGGGAATCTAACCCGGATCTTCGGAGTGACGACCGAACACTTTAACCACTAGGCTACCCCCACCGCCCCGATAGCAGGTAGGAGATGTATATGAGATAACAGGTTGGAGATATAATTTAAACCACAGCAAGCTATTAAATAAAATGTGCTTCAACACAGCAAGACAGCTGGTATGTGATGTACCTTAAATGTAAAAAGAATGTGAATATGAGATGTGTATACAACAGCAAAACAATGTTTTAGTGACGTAATCTGAAACTTGTTTTATTACCTTTCCCTTCACATATTTATTATCAGTCCACAGCACAGCAGACAGAAGCACCAAGATTGGTCTTAATAGGGCAAATTGTAAAACACACATCTTGATTCTGAAGAGGTTCTTCCTGAAACAGTATAACGCCATCTTCAGAAACCAAACAAAACAGTACTTTTAGAACAGTGCATGAAAAAGTTTAGCGTCATTATTAAAAAAATGCTTGTTTGTGAATGCTTGTGAACTATTACATTCAGGCTACAGATACATATGTCAGAGGTAAGGTACAGATAAGCTGCGTATCTGCGTAAATTACGCAAATATTTATGTGAAGACTCAATTCCTATTAAGTCTATTGTGTACAAGTACGCTTGAATTTTGGTAAATACTCAATAAATGTGATCTTACATGCGTACACTAGAGTTGTTCACTGGTCTCAAGGGGAACATGGGCTGATGTACCCTTGATGTTGTTTATGTTCCCTGAGCCCGAACACCTCAATGGTAATTTTGAACTGTTTGAAGCACGGATATCAGATCATAGTATGGAGTACCAGAGGACAAGACAAGAAAAACAAATTTAGAGTTATCTCCCTTCCATCGATTTGCATTCGCAAAACATTGCTAATTTCCGTACATCATACGCGATGCAATGTTATTCGAGATAAAGAATTACTACTACGAAGTACCAAATGAGTTCGGCATTCCTAGCGGGGTAGATAGAAAATGTTACTCGCTTGTAAGCGGGAAAGTAGTAGAAGCGTGCTCAGCCAATCAGAAAAACACATTTATGTGTGAGGCAAGATAAACGAAACTGTCAAATCTTAGCTTGCGTACCAGTGGATGGATAAAATACAAATGTAACTGGGGTACACTAGAGGTTCTATTTCAGGACATGAACTTGACAATTTGCACTCTTTGTTATCATTTCTCATATTACAGATCAAATATATATAACAAACACTAACATTTAAATTTTATCATATTTCTAAAATTAATGGAAAATGGCAAAATACCCAATTGAGTTTAAGTGAGGTGAGTACAATTTATTTGGTTACTCAAAGGAAAATTAGGATACCCAATTGAGATGAACACAACCGAGTACATAACTCAATGACCCAAAAAGTTTAATCTGTAGCTCTGAGTGTTAACTAGTTGTATAAGTACTACCTTGTTCCATCAAAGACCATGGTTGCATTTCACAACGGGTTCAAAACATGAACCTCAGTTTAGGTCCTTTGCCCCCACTAACATATGGCTGGAATAATCCTTACAGTGAAATCAAATCCAACTCACTCGCTTTAATGTCCATTAAATTAATCTTTTTAAACAAATCCGTAAAAAACAAATCAGTAATAACAGGGTTTAAAGTCTGTCATAAGGCTGATAGTGAATTAATGGTAACTGTGACAAGTATTCCTACTTACTTGTTTACCTCTATCTTGGGGCAGCAGCAGCAACAGCAGGCCACGGGAGGGCTGCGCAGGTTGATTGTCTCCCCTGACATGTGGTTGATCAGGCCTTCCTCGCCTCCGTGGTAGTGGATCATCAGCTGGAGGAAGGTCCTCATACAGATGGACAGGTAGCTGGCACAAGTACAAAACACACATTACAGGGCATCATTTAGGTATAAGACCAAACTCATTCCTTTTAATATCTCTCTGACTCCACAGGGATAGCATTGGTTCCTAGTGACAAGAGTGCATCTTTAAACAGCAAACACATACATTGAAGTATTTTTGTACAGGACCTGGCAAAAGAATAAAGAGACATTTCTGGAAGTGGAGCGAAGAGTGTCATATGTCATCAACCCAAAAATAACAACTGAGTTCAACCAACTCAAAAACTGACAAAGTTAAATCCCCATATGTAACTTACAGGATAGACTAATGCCTAATCTCTGAAAATATATTATCTTGATAGAAACAAACAATTCCTCATAAACTGAAAGGGAGCCCCAGTGAGATGGGAGATATAGACTTGCTTCATTGCTTCATTACCAGTTTTATGATATATCATGTCAATAAACAATACAAACAATCATGGAACATATTGCACGTCCGTAGTCAGTGTTTTTTCTGTCGGGCAAGCAAATTTGTATATCACACTGAACTAGTTGATATTATGTTAATGATGTTGTTTATTTAAAAAATCAACAAGAAAATGGCCGGTATATAAGTGATTTTACATGTGCCACTATAATTTTAAAGTTATTTTGCAATGCGTTTTTTCCTCTGAACAGTTATATGGGGTAATAAACATATATGAAGGTTTGTGATTATCTTATGGTTTAAGTTAAATTTACACAGACTTTCATTCACACTGAAGTTTTCCATTGTAATTAATTGACAAAATACCATACTTTACATGCAATATATTTTATGACAAACAGTACAGTCCCTAACAATCAAATCTCAATTCGACATTCCTGTTAGACACAACCATAACATATATTTTGGGGGCTTTAGTAAGCAGAAAATAGGCTCTGCATGTACAATCAATGTCACTCACTGCCAATCACTGAAGCTCCCATTTTGGGAAAATATACATGTAGTGAAGCTTTACTTGGCTACTGGGATTATTTCATACTTCCTTTTCAAAATAAAAACCGATATATTCTTCGATCTTGGCTCTGAGTTTATTTTGACTGCCATCGTTTTACATATCATCCCATTACGTCACCATTTCTTGCACACACTAACTATTTCTAAAAAGTGAAACATACAACTACATGGATGACAACTTCTAGAATGCTGATCAAACAAAAACTATTTCTAAACAAAAATGAGACTAATTACTATTGTGACAGTGGTTGTCTGCTGACTGATGTAAATATAACAAAATATAATGTTATATTACATTATAAAATAGAATAATGAGGGTCTATTTTTACATACAGCAGAAAGTCCTTACATCAGATATATTACCTACCTAACTTGCTATATAATAAGCTTAGTCATATTATGCTTACTGAAGCACTCATAAAATATTTGCTAAGTGACTGAATATATAATCTCGTTATATAACACAATATATTGCAATATGTATTGGAAAACAGGTACCAGATTGTATTGCAATAGTTTTTGCCATTACACAGCCCTAGGTTTTAGCATTGCAGAAATGGCTGGGCAGAGAGGAAAATGATGCGGATCAGGGACTGCAATTTACCCATGTAGCCCATGAAGTCTAGAATATTTGGCAAGTCTAGATTAGCACAGTTTCTGGGAAAATGAAGAAAGTTTCTGGGCTATTTTTTACTGTATTTTATTTTACTTTTTATAAACTTTTTTCTCTGAAATATGTTCATTTCAGAGACTAGCTGTTAGTCGAAGGGACTGGGAGTCTACTCACATTGCTGCTACCAGATCTGACAGCAAGGAAGACCGAGGTATACACACAGCTATCAAGGCTGTCACTGCAAACACCTGTAGATAGCGATTGCACATTTATATATAGAGTCAAAAATAAAATAATAATAATATCCATTATGAATTAAGGCTGCAAGAACAGATCAAGATCACCCGCATTTTGTTGTCATTATAACACCATGTATAACAAACATTATTTGATTGATTGTGATTTGTAGTTTAACCAATCACAAGCTGTGTTACTCAAACTTTGAATTTCCATGTCACTGTCCATGAGGGGATGAAACATTAATTGTTGCCTATTTAAATAGTGGAGAGAGAGAGAGAGAGGGTGTCATTCGCTCTCCTTAAATATCATCATCAACCCTCTCTAACCATAACCTATGAACGGCCCTAATGACAAATTCTTGGATTGGTTAATTTTGTATCATCATACCCCAAAGGAGAGTTTTGATGCTCATAAAATCAATCGCTAGTTTGCATGTGATGATATTTGATTGTTTTCAGGCTGCTACTTCAATCAACAAACATTACAGCTTCTGAGAATTTTCAAATGATCTGAAAGGTTTATGCATGACATCTTGTTAACTTACTGGTTGTAGGCCAATCATCCATAGAGACAAAACTTTTGTCTTGCGAACCAAGAAGTGTTGGATTATAAACCAGGTGCTCTCCAGGTACATGATGACATTAGCTAGAGCAATTACTGCACAAACAGCAGTGACCGCTAATTCCGCAGTAGATATTCCTGCAGAATACAAGTCACAACAGTTTCGGATGTTTTATTTACAACGAATGGGTATAATCAGTATCTTATACTGAAAACAAATATAAAGGGATTATAGATGAATTCATAGCATGATTTAAAAATTCATGAAAATGAACCTTTTTTGTCTTGCAGGTTTTCAACATTTATCTGTTATATTGATTTATATTATGCAACATGACATCACTGGTGCCAAGTGATAAACAAATGACGTCATTACACCTTATTAGACCTATTTCATGTGGTGTAGGATGTGTGGTTCTTGTGTCTAAATGATCAGTTTCCTGTTTTAACCCTCATTGTGCCTGGACGTCAGCTGGCTTTACGTACTGCTCATTGCTGCACTGTGATGATATGACGGTTTGAATTCCTGTCCTGACCTTTCTAAATGAACTGGCATAATCTCAGTTGCTTGGTATAAACAAATGCCTCATAATGGCACACATTTCAACACTTTTCAACATTGAGCATGGTATTTTGCAGTGTAAGAAAAATGAGTGTATATTTTCAAATATTAATAGTAACTACTTCTAAAAGTCTATTTTGTTTTGAATATGATTTTTTTTTTTTATATTTCAGTGTCACTTAGCTAGTGATGTTCTGAAGATCAAAAATAATCGAAAATTCATCAAAAGAAGGATTAAAAATGTTTATCGATTGTAAAAAACATATTTTTGATTACCGGTAATCAGAATTTGGTTGTTTTTGTATAACACCCTTGAATGAAGTAAACTAACCATCAAATTTGACAAATATTCTTGAACAAACATGCACTCAACAGCTTAAGCTATGCATGTTGTAAAATTTTAACCACTTTCATTGTTTAATTACAATTCCAGTGTCTTTCTTGCATGCGTGCATTTCATTGCATGACAGCATTAGTTTTAAAAAAGCAACAACATTAATTAGAAAAATGCTTGGGGAAAACCCTTAAAATTGGTGATTACATGAAAAATGTATATATTTCGATTATAATCGATAATCGTTCACCACAATCCTCCGATAATTGATAGTGGATTTGGTGTCCGATTCTCAACACTACACTTAGCCCTTAATTACCTGCAAAGTACACCTCTGATAAAGGAACAACATCAGGACAGTTGGGTGCACCCGTGCTGAAAAAGAAATGTCGATAACATCATATAAACATACATCTTAAACATAGGCTTGCCAAAATACCTATGGAATCAGTAAACATGGTACATCTATATGTATACTCTATACAAACCAACACGTGTAGATACGGGTTAGAATGGGCCTTCACCAACCCTTGTTTGTCATAAGAAACATTTAATGTCATCAGGTGGTCAGGCTTGCTGACTTGGTTGACACATGTCATCACTGCCAATTGTATGGATAGATTCTGATGCTGTTGCCAGGTGAAACTACAGGAACATATACTGACAACTGGCAATAGAAGTAGTCAGTGAGTGAGCGAGTGAGTATGGTTTTATGCCGCTTTTAGCAATATTCCTGCAACATCACGGCAGGGGACACCAGGATTGGGCTTCACTCATTCTACCCATGTGGGGAATCGAACCCGGGTCTTCAGCGTGATAAGCGGAAGCTTTAACCATTAACCTACCCCACCGCCCTAACAATAGTCCAGATCCCAGTCCCACAGAGCATATTAGGGACAATATGGGTTGCAGAATACTCCAAAAAGATCCTTCAGTACAAAATCTTTCCGCACTTGATCAAATCATCCATCAAGAATGGAATGCAATACCTTAATACAAATTCAAAACTGTAACGTCTGATACAGTCACTGAGAAAGAGGGTGAGGAATGATATTGGAAATTGACATTGTGCTTGGTTAATGATACTTATGTCAGCTTTTAAAATTCCCGCCTGACGACCGTCCGGAACAGTCTATTTTCATCTCGGATGGTCAAATTTCAAAAGTAGCCTGTCTGGTGGTCTGGTAGATGTTTTTAACCCTAACAGTAAATATTTCATAATATCAGACAGGTTCTCTTGTCGTCAGTTTGAGGTGTTTAAGGCATTATGATAATTATGTTAAACTATTTATGATTGGACAGTTCATTTTACAATAACCAATCAAAACACATGTACTTTTAGTTTACTTAAACTCGGTGCATTGCCTGTTAGTGCTATGTTGTTCGCTGCGATGCCTACAAACAGTAAAGTATTCAGAAACCTGATCTTTTTTCTTCATTGTTGAAAACCGGACAGGCAAGTTTGTATCCGGACTGGTAATTTTATTAAAGTTGCCAGTCTGGCTGTCTGGCTTGTAATTTTGGGAGTTTTAAACACTGCTTATGTGGCTTCTTGAGGATTGTATGTCAGAATCTTGCACATGACTGCACTTGTTTAGGTTAACATATTGAAACTATAAACAAATGAGGGGTATTGCAATACTTTTCCCCATATATATTATCTTCAGTCTGAGCTAATGCCCCCCATCAACATGCACACGGCCAGCACTTAGGGGCCAAGTATAGAGGAGTTTTTCTCCAAAATACCCTGTTCTGAAACATATTATCTAAAAACATTTTTTTTAGTTTATGCCAAACAATAAAAGACGGAAACATAGTCCCAACTTGGATGAGTAGGCAAGTAGGTTTCTTTATTTCATTTATGTCAGTTGCAATGCCTCTGAAATTCATAGGTCATCCTAGCTACAGACCAATAATATGTTGAAACATCCAATCCTTCATAAAGTTAATTGCAAATTTCATGAAAGCTATTTCCAGATGCGATAAAAACAAGTGGGTTACATAAACAATGAGTGAGTGAGTGAGTGAGTTTTACGCCCCAGACAGCAATATTCCAGCTATATGGCGGCGGTCTGTAAATAATCGAGTCTGGACCAGACAATCCAGTGATCAACAGCATGAGCATCGATCTGCGCAATTGGGAACTGATGACATGTGTCAACCAAGTCAGCAAGCTTGACCGCCCGATCCCATTAGTCGCCTTTTACGACAAGCATAGTCGCCTTTTATGACAAGAATGGGTTGCTGAAGACCTATTCTACCCCATTCTCTTTCCACAGAGGTAACTCCTGTCATATCTTCCTACGTAACCTCTGTTCTAATACGGCCCTTTCATGGTGTGAGCGTTCAAGACTCGTGATTGGAGGCAATCAGATTTAGTTGTGCAATCAGCGACATTGTTTCAAAAGTGATCATTCGCAAGGCCTCGTTAATTTCCGTATGCTTCGAGAAAACTAAACTTCTTCCCCTTCTTCTAGACAGAACTCAGTCTTGTTATGGCGGATCAGTGGCGTCTCCATCGCCCTCGTTGACAACGGACAAGCAAGCCATTAAACGTCTTGTGTGTAACATCAACACAAATCCCCGGCAGATGGGGGATATTTGTGTCCCCACATTTGCTTGTGTTAGTCAAGTTGAATCTAAGTCGATGTAACACGTGTTCTGATTGGATAGAAAGAAGGGAGATAATTCGTGTTGCGATCTTTTAGGGGATTTTACGAGAACCGGGAAATATGGCCGTATTAGAACAGAGGTTCGTAGGAATATATGACAAGTAACCTCTGTGGGAAGAGAATGATTCTACCCTGGATCTTCACGGGTCGTTACATAAACAAAGGGTCCTTCAGGTAACCTGAAACAAAACTGATTTTATTTCACTGTGTAGGGTAGCAGGATCCTCCAAATATTAGATAGCCTTTACCTAAAGATTGTAAGAGAGTCGGAATGAACCTTTGATTTCTGTTTCCTGACTTCATAAATATGCATAATTTTATATACATTTTATTTTCAGCTTGAAAGACCAGGGTTCTAAATACCCCAAATATTAGCGTGCCATGGCACGGATAAAAAATGTTCTCGGTGCCCTTATGGCACCCCAAACTTTTTAGAGACATAACTCACCTTTAGTCAGTTAATCCCCAAAACACCTACGAAACTTACAAACAAGTAAAAACATTAATTGACTTTATCGCCCAGGAAGTCACTGGAATTATGATGGATGATGAAAAGAAATCTAGGTTTTCATTTAGTGAGGATGTATGATTGGTTATTGAAGAGGAATGACTGACTGGTTTGTTTTCGCCGCTTTTAGCAATATTCCAGCAATATCACGGCGGGGGACACCAGAATGGGCTTAAAACATTGTGCCCATGTTATTGAAGAGGAAATTGTGTATGTAAGATATATTGAACAAGTGAACCTGACACAAAATTCTTAGCCTTTTTTAAAGCTGTTCGGGAAGCATAACAAATGAAGCTTAAGAAGCCATCTTAAACTGAAGACATATCAGTGATAACAGAAAACAGGTTACATGTGTTGTTACTTACAATAAATTTCAAATGATCATCATCATTGCTACAGCCATTTATTCTAAAAATATGTTGGCACACTTGATTTCTGAAAGGCACATTTAAAATATTTGCCAGGTGCCCTAAGGCACACTTCGAAAAAAAGAAGACAAGGTGGATTAAGGACCCTTTCATGCCCACTGAATATGTCAAATTACAAAGTTTGGTGTAACTTTGAAATATTTGTATATGAAATGTTGAGACAATGTTACCTCTTTTGGACAATCATACCGTCACTTTGTCCTACACTAATGAACTTTCCTGGATAGTTTCTTTTGGTACTTTAAAATCTAATTAAAAGTCATAAATAATAATAATGATAAGTCATCTTCTATAGCGCACAGTCTCCAAACACCAAGTGATTGCTCGCGACGCTTAATCAGAATCTGATTCTTATTACCCCGGATAACCCAAGCTGCCTGTTAGGTGCTAGAAGGTTATAGTCACATGACTTTATCCAACCGGGTACCCATTTTCTGCTGGGTGAACAGAGGCAATTTGAACAAACTCACTTGCCTAAGGTGAGACCACATGTATCACATGTGCTTCATTGTGGGGCAGGACTGAAGTCCTAGAAACTCTCAGGAGTCAAGCTGCCAAACACGGTCACCCATCCAAGGATTGTCCGAGCTCGACGTTGCTTAACTTCAACTGATTCGTGACCTGAGCTCTGTGCACAGGACCACACGCCACCATGAAAAAGAATAACTCGAAATAATTTCATTCTAATTGGTTATCATGAACAAGGTAGATGAAAAAATCAATTTACTCACGTGTTTGGTGCTCCAGATGTCATATTTGAGTCTAGTGTTTCACAACTTCCTACAAATGTACCACCTGCTCCTTAAAGTAAACAATGAAAATACATGAAGCAAATGTTCTTTATTGAAGATTTAATCCCCAAAGAATCCCTCAAAAGGACTTCAGACAAGTATGTTAACAAATCAGGGTTAATCTATCCATAATAACCTAACTCATACTAGTGATATATCTAGAACCAATCAGATGTTTTCCGCTCTACTAAAACTCTTTGTCATAGAGCGGATAAAGTCTGCAGAAAAAGCAAACTTGAAGTGCATCGGCATCTGTATAAACAAGCTCGTAATGAACTGAATTCCTTGCTAGCTTCAGCAAAGGCAGCGTTTGTCCACAACACTATAACTCATAATAAGCACCACTATAAGGAGCTGCACAGTCTTCTTGGTAAACTTCTACACGGTTCCCACGAACAGAAGCTCCCTAATCTCACAGATGAACTTGAACTTGCCAACAGGTTTGCATCTTTCTTCAGTGACAAAATCAAGAACGTTAGAGCCAATATCCAGTCAAATACAACGTTACTGCAAGAATTAAAACTGACGTTTCAGGGTAAGCCACTGGAACATTTAACACCAGCTTCTTTGGCTGAGGTTCGTCGGATCGTTAAAGATTCTCCATCAAAGTCTTCGTCTCTGGACACTATCCCTACATGGCTGTGATAGCGTCTAGTGATGCTTTGGCGCCATGCTACCTTGACACCATCAATACGTCTCTGGACACAGGCAGTGTTCCATCCGCCTTCAAACACGTTCATGTCATACCAAATCTCAAGAAATCAAGTCTTGACACTAATATCCTGAAAAACTATCCACCAGTCTCGAACCTACCATTTCTCTCTAAGGGACCGTTCATAATTTATGGCTAGGGGGGTGATGATGATTTTTATGGAGAAGATGTACAATGTGACACACACACACACACACACACACACACACACACACACACACACACGCACACACACACACACACACTCCTCACTCACACACACCACACACACTAAAATTTATGTACAAAATATGTGACCCTCCCTCCATGTCATGTACAAAATCAGTTACCCCCCTTCCCTTCCCATAATTTCTAAGCATAATGTTAAACATACTTTTATGTACAAAATTGCTGACCCCAGTATGCGTGTGTACAAAATTGATGACCCCCTAGCTTGCCAGAACAAAATGGGTGGGGAGCACACGCACTCACACACACACACATACTAGCCATAAATTATGAACGGTCCTTAAGTGTCTTGAAAAGGTTGTTGCTTCTAGGATTAAAACACATCTTGCAGAACATAATCTTCAGGAATCTTTCCAGTCCGCATACAAGACTAGCCACAGCACCAAGACAGCTTTGGTCCGCGTCTACAATGACATCTTAGAAGCTATGGACAGGAAACAAATAACTTTATTCATCTTGCTTGATCTTCAATCAGCATTCGACACTATCGACCATGGTATTCTGTTTCAACGACTTGAGAATTTGGGTATCACAGGAACATCTCTCTTGTGGATTCAATCTTACTTGTCAGATCGTACACAGTCAGTCAGGATTGGTGAGACATTATCCCAGACACACAACGTCAAGTATGGTGTCCCACAGGGATCTGTTCTGGGTCCACTGCCATTCAGTGAATATATCCTGCCTCTTGGTCTGATCATCAGGACCCATTCACTGCACTTCCATCTTTATGCTGACGACAACCAACTGTACCTGTCAGTTGCCCCAGCTGCTGTAGGAAATGCCATCCAAACAGTTGAAGCCTGATCTACCGGTCATGGATGAGTTCTAACTACCTGAAACTCATCGATGAGAAAACAGAGTTCCTGACACTGGGCCAGGGGTGGAAATAACTTTAAAATTGCCAGTGTACTCCGGTACAGTGGCACATGTGAAATCACTTGCCCTGAAAAATTTTCCACTATACTGGCCGTTTTCTTGTTGATTTTTTAAATAAACAACATAACTAACATTGGAATATCAACTGGACACCGGTACAGTGTGATATACAAATTTGCTTGCCCAACAGAAAAAAACATTGGACTCGGGTGTCGGGCAATGGGTTATTTCCACCCCTGTGGGCACTCGCCATCAGCTTGCAAAACTGAACCCTAAGCCTTCTATTAATGTTGGAGCATGTTCTGTCAGTGACACCCCAAAGGCCAGAAATCTTGGAGTTATTTTCCAGTCAACCATGACCATGGAAGAGCATGTCAGCTCTGTGTGCAGCAGCTGCTATTTCCATATGCACAATATTGGCAAAATCAGGTATTTCATGACCTTGGACACCATCAAACTTCTTGTGCAAAGTCTTATCATCAGCCGTCTCGACTACTGCAACTCTCTTCTTGTCAACCTCCCTAAAAAGATTCTATCACGTCTGCAAAGAGTACAAAATTCTGCTGCAAGATTGATTAAACGCAAGCCACGCACTGACCACATCACTCCAGTTCTGGAATCTCTCCATTGGTTGCCAGTTCAACAACGTATCTTCTATAAAATCCTGTTACTGACTCATCGAGCCCTCTACATGGAAAACAGCCTTCTCTACCTTAAAGAGCTCATCAAGATCTACAAGCCATCGAGACCTCTACGCTCCTCTGATCAGTTCCTATTGTCCCAACCAGTATCCACAAGCAAAATGGGTAGCAGAGCCTTCTCCACTGTGGCACCTCAATTATGGAATACATTAGCATCAGAACTCAAAGCCACCACCTGTGAATCCTCTTTTAAAAGCCTATTCAAAACTTTTCTGTTCAGAACTGCTTACAATATTTAACAATTTTCCCCTTTCACTCTACTGACTCCTACATATGCGCCAGTGAGCAACTAGACAGATGGATACCAGGCGCTATACAAGTGAATTATTATTATTTATTATTATCAGATGTTGATGAAAATGGAAGTAAAAATGTCCTAATTTATGAATTTATATTACCGGTAGATACAGCTCATGTTATAACAATAATAATAATGTATATATTCACCATAGAGATGCTCAGTGGCGCTGAGACAATACTGAGGAAGGAAATAGTTCACTAACTTTACAGAAAGGAAGCAGTGAATAGATGGGTCTTTAGCAGAGATTAAAAGTTTCTTTCGATGGAGAAACTTCTTCGGTTGTGTTTTCTAAAGGTGACTTGATGCAAAGTCATAAGTATTTTTTTCAGTATTTCGCATGTACCATTTACGCCAAATTTCCATTCATAATAAACGTTTTCTTGTCTCAGTTTTCACAGTCATTATGACACGTTACACCTGATGTGATGAACAATATTCGAACACTGACACTCACCAAAACACAGGTCAGCTTGATCTTTATTTGTCTGTAATTTATATAAAAATGTTTCTGAAGCAAAGCAACTTGATCTACATCATAAACTAATTTCATTACCAAGTGATCAAAATGTTAAAATTTCATAAACTATGTTACACAATCAATCTCATGTTTTTGTATTTTTATTTTATACTGCCAGCCCAATAAATGTCACACAATCAGGGAAAATGTCTAATGTTTTTGTATTTTTATTTATTGCCAGCCCAATAAATATGTCACACAATCAGGGCAAATGTCTAATGTTTTCGTATTTTTATTTTTTATTTATTGCCAGCCCAACACATATGTCACACAATCAGGGAAAATGTCTAATGTTTTCGTATTTTTATTTTTTATTTATTGCCAGCCCAATAAATATGTCACACAATCAGGGAAAATGTCTAACGATTTTTAATAAAAATTTTTTATTTATTGCCAGCCCAATAAATATGTCACACAATCAGGGAAAATGTCTAACGATTTTTAAATTTTTTTTTTTATTTATTGCCAGCCCAATAAATATGTCACACAATCAGGGAAAATGTCTAATGTTTTTTTATTTTTATTTTTTATATATTGCCAGCCCAATAAATATGTCACACAATCAGGAAAAATGTCTCATGTTTTTGTATTTCTAATTGTTTAGTTATTGCCAATCTGCTTTCCTGCTTGTTGAAGCTGAAGATGAGAAGCTAAAAAGACATATAGATATGGCATATCAAGCAGCAAATACAATGTTAAATTATATACCTGTAGGTACAACACCTCCCCATTTTGTATTTTGAACAGTCCATTTTACCTTCTCATTTTGCCTGCTATTGGAACTTTAAACACCTGATCAGAATTCTAGATAAATCCCTGCAACGAGAACCTATGTATATTTTTAAATGTAAATGTTTGCAGAGATCCATTTCAATACCCTGTGGCAGGCACACAATTGGGTTGATATGGCGTGAGTCTGGACTGTGCTCTTATACTGCACCCTTGTGAAAATATTTATACAAAATGAAGGGTTCTATTTGTCTGTATAAAACACGAACCGGAGAAATTTGTTTTTGAAACGTACAGCTGAATACATATCTTCCTAACCAAAACACTTCTATACAACAATCAAGGTAGGTAAAAAATCAATTAAAGTATCCTTATTTTGAATGACAATGACCTTACAATGAACTTCTCATGTATAAAGGTGGCAGTTGGGTAGCTTAGTGACTAAAGTGTTTGCTCGTCATGCCAAAGACCTGGGTTCAATGCCCCATATGGGTACAATGTGTGAAGCTCATTTCTGGTGTCCCCTGCCATGATATTGCTGGAAGCGAAGTAAACTAAACTCACTTACTCATATAAGAAGGTATTGGTGAAGTCCCAGTATACAAATGAAATAACACTTATTATCAGCAATTAAGCATCAAGTTACCTCATGGGCCAGTTCCTGTCTTTTCAAAACTCATATATGTTTGAGTACATCCATAAAACTATCATTTCTGTACAGGGCAATTCAGCTCCTGACACTGTATACCCTGCTTACGACATGACTCATAGTGTAATGCCTGGGTAGGCTAGTGAAGACAACATGTCCCTGGCCTCCGACGACCTTTCTTTAGCCACAGGACATCCATCACTGACTTTACCTATGATTGCTGAAACCAGGTTGCAACCTGCATACTCCTGAAACGGTTACAGGCTGGGAGAGCCACATTTCTGAAACAGATAGCCAAAATTGATGTGGCTCTTCTGTCAATAGTCATGGTTGCGTGAACATGGAATGTGGCTCTCACTGCTATGCTGTCAAAACATGCTTAGTGATTCAAACAGGTTATCGTAATTAGCAAAACAAGACATGTTTCCTCATAATTTTATTTAGATCAAAATATACACAGTTTTTTTAAAACACTAATTCGTTTACAGTTAAACAATTCGTTAAATCTTTGGGCTTTTTTAACATAATGGTTTGGGATATATACTGGACAAAATAAGTTAGGGATATTGGTATTTTTAGGATTGATATTTAATCAGTGTGTCAATGAATAAATAGTTCATTATTCATAATTTTTTTAATTTACATATATCCTTAACTATTTTTGTCAAGTATAGGTTTTCCGATGATGTTTGAAGAAAGGGCAGAGCAAAATGTAGTGAAATTCTTTGCAAATTTTATTTTTTACCTGTAAACGATCTATTTTCTTTATCAATTTTATAATTTTATGCCATCTACCAGTTTCGATAGGGATTCTATATATGGTTACAGGTTCTAAGTTTTGTGGTATAAATGCGTAAATCTAGAGGAAGTTGGAACAGTCTTTTACCGGTATTTCTAAACACCATGCTTGTGAGTAAGAAAGATTATTCGTTTCTTGTGAAAACAATATTATACATGGGGACACTCTTTTACCAATTATGGTAATCCATTAATTAATTAATCTATTGGAAATGTGGCTTTACCAGCTACAGCCATGTAATTGAAATGTGGTCTTCCCGGCAATAGTCATTTTTTAGGTGTGGCTTTCTCGGCCTGACACCCCTGAAACAAAGCCAGCCTACAATCCCATAATAGCACATTTTTCACTGAATTTATTGGCAATTGTTGAAACTAGGTGGCCTTGTAGTATTCTAGGTTTTGTGTTTTACTATCTCCACTGTCCTTGGATGTGTTGCTAGTGTAAACAAGCCGGCATCGACCAGCTTAGAGGCCACTATTCAGTTCCAAAATCTGCAGGAAATATCAGTTAATGTTCTGAAATTCCCAATCCTTTTTAATATTGCTATAAATAATGCAGTGGCTAGTCCACTTTAAGCAGTGTAAGAAACTACTGCCCACCCGAATGCCCAAGACGGGTTAATTCTGTGGAGTGCTGGCAAAAAATAAATCTTACCAGCCTGCCTGAGACGGGTTAATTCTGTGGAGGGCTTGCAAAAAATAAATCTTTACCAACCCAACGGTCGGGCTCATATTTTATGTGTAAGGACTAAAAAAACCAAAGCTTGTGGTTCCGATTTCCCAGCCGACCCTAAATATTGCCGCTGAGTCTAACAATTTTACTCACCACATAATAAATTAAATTTATTTTCTGACACATGTGTAGTGTAAAAATATTTTGCAAAAAACAAACAAACCCTACCTACCTACCCTAGTTCTGAAATGTAGGAAATCGGAACCACAACATTTATTTTTTTGGGCCTAATCATGAGAATCTTATATCTCTGATGAACTGTTTCTTTTGTTAGGCATTTCAATAAATATGAAAGCAAAGATACTTAATAGTTGTTTGTTTTACTATTGTTGAGCTGAAATGTGAAATTAAAGTTGGTCTGGCAACTTTTGGGAAGGGCTAGTAAGTTTTCAGAGTTACCAGTCCTGGTGTCTGGTAGAATTTTCTGTTAAGTTTCCTACACTGCTTTAAGAGGCTTTAATGTTTAACAGTACAGTACTGCTAAGAATAAAATACCTCTTAAAAGAAGGAGTAACATAAAAAATGCAACTTTTGAACAACAAATTTATCCAGGTTTGTTTCCAAAAGACACAAAGCATGGAATCCTAAATAGATCCCTGCATTAAATAAGCATAATTACATTATCATATAGATAAAAATAGCAAAGCTAGTGCAGGTGTATCTTATCACTGACTGACTGAGTTTGGTTTTACGCCGCTTTTAGCAATATTCCAGCAACATCACGGCGGGGGACACCAGAAATGGGCTTCACACATTGTACCAATGTGGGGATTCGAACCCGGGTCTTCGGCATGACGAGCCAACGCTTTAACCACTAGGCTACCCCACCGCCTGTGTATCTTATCACTGTCTACATATACTGATACTACTTGCTGATACACTTATCCAATGTCAATAAAAACATTGATAACGATACCTGAGACAAAGCAACCAAAGGAATAAGTGGCATTATATAGAAAACAAACAAACATGTAGGTCTGAGCAAGGATAGGATTATACCAACCCTGACTATCGAGTGAAACAATATCAATAGGATGACATACTAGATGAAAATGATGTCAGGTGTCAATATTTGTTAAAGCCACTTATTGACCTTATTACACAGTACACCTTCACAAGCGAAGGGGGTGGTTGCAGCATGAGTGAGTGAGTTTAGGTTTACGCCGCTTCTAGCAATATTCCGGCATTATCAGGTGGGGGACACCAGAAATGGGCTTCACACATTGTACCCATGTTGGGTATCGAACCTGGGACTTCTAGAGTGACCACTAGGCTATACCCACTGCCCAATTACAGCATGAAGCTTTAGGAACTGTTTACACAGAGCACTGACTTCATGCTGACTGTTAGCACTTACAAATGATTTTGTAAATTTTTGTTCAGTATTAAATCATACTTTTAAATGAAAAATAAAATAAAAGGGAAATCAATATCTCCAACCGTCAATGCAGCTTCAGACTGAGCGAAAATATACTGCAGATATATGTGTATCATTAAAAAGGAGGTGTTACGTTGTAATCAAATCGAAACGCTCTCGCCGATTGTGCAATAACTTGTATACATTCACAGTCACGTGTATACACAAACAATCATCTCTGACAGCCCAGTGACAACACATAATCATCACATAATTGGCATGGCTGTCCCTGACCACTCTGTCAACTGTTGAAGCTGATATTTATGTTGATACTTCATACACTCGATATTTCATGAGGCATGAAATGACCCCTCGTTAACGCTACGTTTCATGCAGACAACAAATCTTTTCTCGCCATGCTAAGTTTTATAACCATGTTCGCCCGCTCACTCGATAGCGCTCACGTTAGTATTGTGCTGCACGGATAAGACGTGTTAAATGTTTATCGATGACCGCAATATGGGTTCAATTTCTGTTGCAGTTAACAGCTACTCACAGTTAGGGTGGAGAGACGAGCCAACGATGAGCGAAGTAACTCACGATCTGCACAAGTTCTGTCCGCGACACCTGAACTTATTTGGATCCCGGACGAGTGCTTGCATGAGATCACGTGACATATGAGAGGCTGTGAGCAGACGACATGGCTTCTTTGTAAACCTTCTTCACCTTTTCGTATTACTTATGATCACTATACTACTGGCCTACTCTTTGTGTGTAGAATGCGTATTAACCCACGGGAATACTTGCTTGAGTTGTATATACATGTACAGTGCACTCTGTCAAACTCGGACTCTGTCTTTCTCGGATTGCTGTATAAACAGGACTGAACTCACGGTCCCGACGTAATTGAGATTTGCGTTCATTAAAATTCAGGGGTGAGAAGTGAGACTTAGGCGATTCAATAGATTCATAGTAGTTAGGGGTGAGAGTCGGAGCAATAAAATAGATATTATATAGGATTCAGGGGTTAGTTGTGAGACACGGGGTGATAAACTAGATAGTATTCAGGAATCGGGGGCGAGTAGTGAGTGAGTTTAGTTTTACGCCGCACTCAGCAATATTCCAGCTATATGGCGGCGGTCTGTAAATAATCGAGTCTGGACCAGAAAATCCAGTAATCAACAGCATGAGCATCGATCTGCGTAATTGGGAACCGATGACGTGTCAACCAAGCCAGCGAACCTGACCACCCGATCCCGTTAGTCGCCTCTTACGACAAGCATGGGTTACTGAAGGCTCATTCTAACCCGGACCTTCACGGGTGGGGGCGAGTAGTGAGACACGGGGTGATAAACTAGATAGTATAAACGATTCAGGGGTGAGTAGTGAGACACGGGGTGATAAACTAGATAGTATATAGGATTCAGGGGTGAGTAGTGGGACACGGGGTGATAAACTAGATAGTATATAGGATTCAGGGGTGAGTAGTGGGACACGGGGTGATAAACTAGATAGTATATAGGATTCAGGGGCGAGTAGTGAGACACGGGGTGATAAACTAGATAGTATATAGGATTCAGGGGCGAGTAGTGAGACACGGGGTGATAAACTAGATAGTATATAGGATTCAGGGGAGAGTAGTGGGACACGGGGTGATAAACTAGATAATATTCAGGATTCAGGGGAGAGTAGTGAGACACGGGGTGATAAACTAGATAATATTCACGATTCAGGGGAGAGTAGTGAGACACGGGGTGATAAACTAGATAGTATATAGGATTCAGGGGCGAGTAGTGAGACACGGGGTGATAAACTAGATAGATAGTATATAGGATTCAGGGTGATAGTGAGACACGGGGTGATAAACTAGATAGATATATATACGATTCAGGGGAGAGTAGTGAGACACGGGGTGATAAACTAGATAGTATATAGGATTCAGGGAGAGGGGGAGTAGTGAGACACGGGGTGATAAACTAGTGAGATAGTATTCACGATTCAGGGAGAGTAGTGAGACACGGGGTGATAAACTAGATAGTATTCACGATTCAGGGGAGAGTAGTGAGACACGGGGTGATAAACTAGATAGAGGACAGGGGAGGGTGATAAACTAGATAAAGTATTCACGATTCAGCGGAGAGTAGTGAGACACGGGGTGACAGTATTCACGACTCAGGGGTGAGCAGTGGGACAGCGGGGTGATAAACTAGATAGTATTCACGATTCAGGGGAGATGTACACCTACATAAATTAGGTAATCGAAGTACAAATTATAAAACGTATTATAGACAACTATTTCAATAAATCGGTGTGTGTGTGTGTACTTGTTTTAACTACCTACCCCGCATTAGAACACGACTGCCTGCACATTACCTGGACCTGACAATTCAAACATAAAGTTGATATCTTCCACACTCTCAGTATGATACAGCATTCGACGATTTGTGAATAATATTCTCCATATGCGTGAATATAACCTATGAGTGAGTTGTGTCACAAGTTTAACGTATATATAATACACTGGCAAATATGCAGTCCATACATTCGATTTTCATTGAAAAGGGAAATTTGTTGCTGCTTGAATTCCATGGTATCTTCTACGTATTTTTAGAACAGACTTTAACTAATCCCTCTATTGTCTGCCTGTTATCCATGGTTGACTGCATCAGTAACTCAAACAAAAGCAGCGGGCACAGTGAGGTGTCCCCAATTAGACATATAATCAACCAAGTCACTGAACCTGACCATCCAATCCTCTAACGTCCATCATTGGTTGCTGGGGACACCTTCCAAGACGAAATCCCCTCGTACGATTAGCAAACTGGTGTTAGGGTCACATTCTGCTGGTTGTCGTTATTCTCCGACTTGGGGCGGTGGGGTAGCCTAGTGGTTAAAGCGTTCGCTCGTCACGCCGAAGACCAGGGTTCGATTCCCCACATGGGCACAATGTGTGAAGTCCATTTCTGGTGTCCCCCGCCGTATGTTGCTGGACTGTTGCAAAAAGCGGCGTAAAACCAAACTCACTCACTATTTTCCGACTTATTGGTTATGTTCGAAGCCTGTTTTTTTAGGCCAAGAGGACTCAGCATTGAAGAATAGGGTAGGCAAAAATGTACACACCCCTCACCACCTCCCCCCAAACCACCACAGCTCCCCCAACAACCACCACCCATCCACCCATGCTAATCTCGATCAGAGACCCCACAAAAGACCCACTTTGTTACAATGCTCCAAGCAGATATAGGTACGATGTGGTACGTAATTCACACCACCCGGCGCATTCACCCCGATCCTTTGACTGCAGATACATAGGTGCACACGCACTTTGGGTAATCTAAAAATAGGTTTAGATTGTCATGTCTCTCTCTCTTACGCGCCGAGTTTTAAAACGCTCTGTACAAAACTGGAAGCCAAATGGGGTCTCTTTGACATTTGACATATAAATGATGACTAAACCTAGTGTCAACGTGTGTGTGTGTGTCAACAGGGGAACTAGCAATGAAGTATAGATCGATACGGTGACAAAGACGTCCAAACTTCTTTAATAAATGAGGTAAGCGGAGTTCCAGCTCAATCCCAGGGCGTGCCCTATACGAGCGGCATTATCCTGCTCGCGGTCGTCCCTACACAGCCAGTCGGAATACCGGTATGGTTGACAGTATACATGTGGACATATATATATATATAGTATAGACAACCATGGACAGACGAAGAGACAAAAACAGTAAAGAAACAACAGCATTGTCTTGGACCAGTTGATGCGATGGCAGGCACGGCCTGTACAACCCCACTATGTAAAATCAAGACAATATGTAAAAACTAACGAAATATGTAAAAACTTAACCCAAAACGTAAAAAGAGCGCAATATGTAAAGTATTAACGCCTAATGTAAAAATGTCTTTAACGCAATACGTAAACACCTAACGCAAAATGTAAAAAATAATTTTTAACGCAATTCGTAACATATTAACGGAATCTGTAAAATAGTGTTTTTGAATCTTACCTCAAAATACACAAATGAAATGCCAGTTTAAGTATAATGGACATGCAAGATGCATAGCAATCATCCGGTATTTCCATTCCAGTCATATCTGATTTCCTTCAATCAAATCACAGCTGATATTGCTGCCAATAAAAAACGAGTAATACCGGAGACATTTGAGATTGGATCCCGATGTTGATCGCTCTAAATTAATGAAATAAAGTTATTGTATTTGATGCAATTTAAGTCCTATGGAATATTGAAGTAAATGGGTAACAGGACTCGCTGTTCAAGGTTTCAGAAAACTAAATCCATCAAACATGCCAATGCCAAGATCAATGATACCTGCATAGAATTGCAAACTCAAAAACCACGCCTTAGAAATTATAATCGTAATTCACCATCTAATCGCATAGACTGTCTTTCGCTGTGTATTCTGTGGCATTCCTGTGAATATTTGACGCAGTATCAAACATTAGTACAAATGGAACCAGTTATTCTATTGTTTATCTAAATGGAGACATCTCGGTGTAATTAACGTCTTGAATAGCTGAAACATTGCTGAAGGGTGTTTATCCTTATTAACTCATTCACTCACTCACTCACGGAACATATGGTGGTCACCTCGTACTCACGGTTGTATCAAGAATCTTATGATAGAGGTCAGAATCTTTGGTGTAAACGGAACAGTGACACAAGTTCACCCCAAAGAGATTCTACCCGGACAGAGTCCAGTGATATATCTTGGCTACTTTCCTGAAAATGAAGGGGAACACTACATGAGTCTAAATCGAACTGATCAAATTAAGAGTGTAACAGGCAGAATGGGCAAAGAGAGCGGTAGCACAGTTCAGGTCGACAGTGTGACAGTGAGCAGAGGGACAGTGAGAGAGAAAGGGGTCCAGAGCATTGGGACAGTGATGTCATTGCCGTTCCAATTCTACAAAATCTGGTTATAAAAAGAAAATCATCCCTGCCTTCCTCTGTTAGGCGCGTTTTCTTCCGCAACAGAGTTTATAATGTCTATAAAACAATATAGCCTGTAAACCTGGCATTTGGCTGGAGAGACAGAGAGAGAGAGAGAGAGAGAGAGAGAGAGAGAGCAGCCATATCCTTTTACAGATGTCCTTATTCATACCTTTATATCATTAAAGGTAACATGCAACCAAAAAATCAAACATAATTAAAACACAATTATCACTTCTTCATGACATATAATATGCATTGCTGATTATGAAAAAACAAATAAACAAAATTATAAGCGTATAATCGCAAATCAAAAGTGCAATATTGTGTACTTCGGTTTACCTCCCTCGAAACGAAGCAGCCGGGATACCGAACCCAGTCAGAGCGGGTGGGTGTGCACTCAAGTGTAACGGCTGGTTCATTAGCAGATCACCGCCTTCACGGCTCATTGTGTGTGTATATATAGAGATGTTGGGTTTTGTAAATACATGCTCCTTTTTTGTGTATAACATTTTGCAATCAACAGACATCATAACATGTCATGTGTTCAGAAGTATCACACCTGCCTGTCTGTGTAATTACATAATGTGACAGAGACCGAACTCGGGCCATAAATCAATGCGTTTTGTTTATGGTGTATAGCCTGATTGGTGTTAAGTTCAAATTGCATGTGGTCAGTGATAGCAGTTGTGTATTGAATATTGTCATTAGCAGACAGGCAGGCAGACACACA